TGAAAAATGTTTGCTAGAAGAGCTGTGCCCATTACAATTTGAATTTTGAAAAGATATGAGATGGATCTATGTGAGATATGTATATATGAGAAATAAAGTTTTGTATACACATAAAAATGAATTTAGACATAAAATAGTTCAATATTGTTTGATCACTAACTCAGGGAAAAGTAAGAAAGTAGGAGCAAATGGGAGCAACTCTGAATGCTAGGTGTCTAATTATTTTTGTCCCAGTTTTACTGAGAAATAATTGCCATACATCACTTTATGAGTTTAAGGTGTACAGCATGATGGTTTAATTTACATGTATTGTGAAATTATTAGCACAATAAGTTTAGTTAACATCTATCATCTCATTGATACAATTAAAAGGAAAGAAAAGAAAATTTTTTGATGACAGCTCTTAGGACCTGCTCTCTTAATGACTTTATTTTTCACACAGTAGTGTTAACTACAGTCATATTGTACATTAATAAAGCTGAAAATTTAAATAAAAGGACAAAGGAGTTCAAATACATAAGATGCCTGTTTAGATATAGAATCTATAAAAATTATACCAACAAAACAAAAAAATACAATAATTTGTATGAAAATATGAAAAATTTAAAAACACATAGTGATCTAAAACCTAATAGCAATGACTTAAAAAACCTAAAACTGGTTCCTTGAAGAGCCTAATATATCGGAAAACCTTTGACGTTACTTCATAAAAGCCAAAGATAGAAACATGTTGTCAGCATGTAGAAATAAGGATAGCTATAAATTATGTGCTATAAAAATATTAGAGAATATTAAAACCAATAAACTAAAAATCTAGTTGATTAGATACATGTCTGCTAAAATATAACATGCAAATATTATAACAATAGAAATGAAAAATTGAAAAGAAAAAAAAAACACTTAAATAAACACTTAAATAAAATTAAAATCCTCCTCAGGAATTTCCTTCATAGTCAATACCTACCCTGCCCCAATATTTTTTAACTTCTCTTGAGTGTTCTTCTTTGACCTATGTGCTATTTAGAAGAGCAAAGTTTAATATCCAAGTATTTGGGGATTTTGCAGCTATTTTTCTGTTATTGATTTTGAGTTTAATTCCCTTGTAGTCTTGAGAGCAGACATCTTATGATTTGTCTTGTTTTAAATTTGTGAAGGTGTGTTTTATGGCCCACAATGTGATCTATCTTGGTGAATGTTCCATGTGAACTTAGAAGACCATGTTTTCTGCGGTTGTTGGATGAAGTGGTCTATAGATATATTATATCCAGTTGATTGATGATATTGTTGAGTTCAACTATGACCTTAATGATTTTCTGCCTGCCAGTTCTGTCCATTTCTGATAGAGAGGTATTGAAGTCTCCAACTATCATAGTGGATTCATCTATTTCTCCCTGCAGTTCTATCAGTTTATACCTTATTTGTTTTGTAGTTCTGTTGTTACTTTTTAGCTGTTCATTTCTTTCGTGTAGAAATACAACTGATTTTGTGTGTTTAGGTGTATCCTGCAAATTTACTGAATTATCTCTCATAGTTTCTGGGTATTTTTTGAGGGAGTGGGTTTTTTTTTTAGGATTTTACATATATATATAAGGGTATGTCACCTGTGAATAGAGCTAGTATTAGTTTTTTTGTTTTTTTTCCAATTTGGATGCCTTTTACTTCTTTTTCTTTTCTAATTCCTCTCAGTAGGGCATCCAGTACAATTCTGATTAGGGTGGCAAAAATAGGCATTCTTGTCTTTGTCCTTATCTTAGGGGGAATGTTTTCAGTCTTTCACCTTTGACTAGGGTATTAGTTGTGAGGTTTTGTTTGTTTGTTTTTCTTTTTCTTTTTTTATAAATGCTCTTCACCATGTTGAGAAATTTACTTTTCATTGCTACAAAGCCTGACAGGTTCATGAACTGGCCACCGTATGCTTATATTGGCAGCACTGTACAAATAGCTTGGTAATGTTTCATAACCTTGGTATATCAGCGTCTCACAGCTGTGTTCATGTCGACGTGTGGCAGTGTCTTGCTGAGTGTCATTCATTATTGTTGAGTGTTTTGAGTGGTTTTGTGTGTTGTCGTGAGAATGTCTGAGCTTGAATTAGAAAAACAAACAAACATTAAATTTCTTTTCAAACTTGCAAAAGTGGAAGTGAAATCAGGGACATGTTAGTCCAAGTTTATGGGGATAATGCCATGAAGAAAATGGCAGTGTACAAATGGATTAAATGTTTTTCTGAGGGGAGAGAATGTGTCACTAATGAAGAGAGGTCAGGGTGGCCAGTAACGAGCAGAACTGATGAAAACATTGCAAAAATTCATTGAATTGTACATCAAAGTCATCAGCTGACTGAGAAGCATAGCAGACAAAATAAACATCAACAGAGAAACAGTGATGAAAATATTAACTGAAAATCTTAGTATCAGAAAGGTATGTGCAAAAATGGTCCCGAAGGAGCTCACCGAGGAACAAAAGCAAAGGAGAGTCAAAGTTTGCCAAGACCTTTTGGAGAGGCAAGGCGATGATTTAGGCCATGTTATCACTGGTGATGAAACATGGGTGTAGCAATACTACCCTGAAACAATGCGTCAAAGTGCATAATGGAAGTCAACCAGTTCTCCACAACCAAAAAATTCCATCAGTCCAAATCAAGAGTCAAAATGATGTTGCTAACCTTTTTTGATATGAGAGGGATTATTCATTATGAATTTGTACCAACTGGACAGTTTACCAAGTTTACTATTTGGAAGTGCTGGAAAGACTGCATGAAAAATTTAGACAACCTGAACTTTTCACTAAGAATTCATGGCTCTTGCATCATGACAATGCACCAGCTCACACGGCACTGTCTGTGAGGGAGTTTTTAGTCAGTAAACAAATAACTGTATTGGAACACCCTCCCTGTTCACCTGACCTTCCCCCAGTGACTTCTTTATTTATCTGAAGATAAATATTGAAAGGAAGACATTTTGATGACATTCAGGATATCAAGGATAATAAGACATCAGCTTTGGCCATTCCAAAAAGAGTTCCAAAATTGCTTTGAAGGGTAGACTAGGTGCTGGCATTGGTGCATAGCTTCCCAAGTGGTGTACTTTGAAGGTGACCATAGTGATATTCAGCAATGAGGTATGTAGTACTTTTTCTAGGATGATTTCACGAACTTAATTGTCAGACCTCGTAAGCGTACATAATTGAACACATTGTTGCTATTATTATTTTGAACAATCTGATGTTAGATCAATTAAGAATAAAAAATTAGTTGTGGTTTTTTTTTAAGACTTTATTGGGTAATTTTCCGTTGGGGAATTGGGGAAGGGGAACAGACAAGTTGCTGTCCTTTGGTTCTTCAATATAGTTGTGGAGGGCATCACTTCACTGGCCCATGTTGGTATTATCATTGCGCTCTTACCGGATGAGGCAGTTGCTCGCTGGCCATTGGACGGCCGCTCACGGTGGCTCTTGGCAGCTCACACAGGCTGCCAGCTACTCATGGTAGCTTATGGCAGCCCAGTGCAGCTTCACTGCAGCCTACGCCATTGTCGGCGACTCATGGCAGCCCAGCTCCAGGTCGAGCTGTTGTTCACCATTTTAGCTGTAGAGGGCAGTGTCACTGGCCTTAATGTGGGATCTGAACCGGGGCCCTGCTGCTCAGAGCTGGCGTCCCAAGCCAACTCTTAACCAACGCACCACTCAGCTGGCCCTAAAAATAGTTTTTTTTAATCTTATGGATTCTTTAATGCTTTTTATCTCTTTATGTAGATTTGAGATGCTGACCCTTATTGTTTCCCTTCTCCCTAAAGAATGTACTTTAACATTGCTTGCAAGGCAGGTGTACTGGCCACAAATTTCCTCAATTTTTGTTTGTCTGAGAAAGTTTGTTTCTTCCTCACTTTTGAAAGTTAATTTTGCAGTGCACAGAAAGTCTAAGTCAGATTTTTTTCTCTCAACACTTTAAATATTTTATTACATTCTCTTTTTGCTTTCATGATCTGAAGCAAAGTTGGTCCTCTATAGGTAAAGTAGAGATTTTTGTTGTTGTTGTTTTGTTTTTTCCCCCATTGGTTTTCTGGATTTTTCTTTATCTTTGATTTTCTGTAGCGTGAAAATGATATACCTATGTGTAGGGGTTTTTTTGGTTTTGTTTCCTAGTTTTTTAATTTTTTTTACATTTATCTTGCTCTGTGTTCTCTGAACTTCTTGGATCTGCGGTTTAATGTCCAATTTTAATTTGGGGGAATATTCAGTCATTATTTTCTTCAAATATTTCTTCTGTTTCTTTCTTTCTTTCTTCTCCTTCTAAAATTCTATTACATGTATGTTACGCCCTTTGTTGTTGTCCCACTATTATTGGATATTCTGTTTTAGTTTTTCTCAGCCTTTTTTTCCCCCACCCTGTGCATTTTAGTTTTGGAGGCTTTTATTGAGATACCCCCAAGCTCACAGGTCCTTTCTTCAGCCATATCCAGTCTCCTCACAAGCCCATCAAGATTATTACTTCTGTTACACTGTTTTTGATCTCAGAGCATTTCTTTTTAGCTTTCTCTTTGAATTCCTATCTCTCTACTTCTTGCATACTGTCTACTATATCCATTAGAGCCTTTAGCCTCTTAGTCATAGTTGTTTCAAATTCTTGGTCTGATAAATTCCAACATCCTTGCCATATCCGAGTCTGGTTCTGATGCTTGCTCTGTTTCTTCAAATTTTGTTTTTTTGACATTTAGTATGTCTTAAAATTTTTCCTGATTGCTGGAAATGATGTGCTCAATAAATGGAACTGCTGTAGACAGATGTTTTGCAATGTGGTGGTGAGGTGTGTAAGGAAGAAAAGAATTCCATATAGTTCTATATTAATAGTTGGTCTCAGCCACTCAGCGGTTTTTTAGTGAGCCTGTGCCTCTGGACTCTAGACTTCACATGTGTCTCAGGCTCCCCCTCCCCCACCCCTTTCAGTGTGGCAGAACGGCTAGAGTAAGCTGGAATTTGCTATTTCCCAACCCTGAACAATGCCCTTGTGTTGTTAGCTGCATACACAGTTTTAGTTTCTGATAAAACCCCAGCAGGTTAGGCTCTGGTTAAACAGCTTCTCCTGAAGGGAGGCCTTGTTAAGAAGAGACTGCTGTGGCCTTTTTCAAAAATAGTTTCCTTTTTCCTCCCTCTTCCAGAAGCAGGAGGAGGTTTTTCTCTTTTTACTGTGAAAACTTGTTTCAGCTCCAGGAAGCAAAATTCACAAAGTTTGGGGGCTCCTGATAACTGCGTGGCCCCTGGAGTTTTTATCTCTCAGATTTATCTACACCAAGCCTCCAGCAATTGGTCAACAGAGTTCAGGCTTCTCTATTATGTCACTGCTTCCTGAGGAACTTGACTTCTTGGTAAGTCATGATTCTCTGTATTTGCCTGTTGGTTTCCAATTTGGAGGGCAGTGGTTTGCCTGGGGACCTCATTTCTCTGATGGATCTAAAAAGAATTGTTGATTTTTTCAGTTGTTCAGCTTTTTACTCATTGTTTAGGATGGACTTGCAACTTCCAGCTTCTTCTGTGCTGACCTAGAAACTGGAAATCAATTCAAGGGCTTTTCATCTCTTGCTTATATACTTGACCCTTTTACCTGGACATTCGGGATGCTGTCACCTTATCTTCTAAATCATTTTAATCAAATTAATATTCTTCAAAGTTCATGCCATTTGCTATCAGTCCTTAGTGAAGTACGATGGATATTGAATGGAATCAAACACTTCTATATATTCAAGATCATTGCTCCTGGAGCTTTATCTTAGCAATCTACATGTATCTCAGATTTACCCTATTGCTCATATTGTGACCCATGTATAATGTCTCCTTCCTCCTCAGTAAAGGGTATCCTACTTTTTATTTGGTGAAAAAAGAAGATATAGTTTGTACCCCAGGAGTTTATACACTCCTAGGATTTGAAAAACTTCTCTATCTTGCAAATTTTTTTTATAAGACTCATGTAATATGACTTGTCACTCTGTCTCTTGTCCACATTCCAATCTGTCCTAAATAGTTCTTCATGCTTAAATTTTATAAAGCATAGTTCTGAATACCTAATTTTCCTAATTAAAAACCTTCTAGCTCTCTGTATCTCGATGATGGAAGAATAATCCCAGCCAGTTCTCAACACCATATTCCTAACTTGCCTTTCTAGGCATATGTCACTATATAGTGAATTTCCAGGAATATCTCATTAGACTGTGGGTTCTATTAGGAAAAGAATTACATCACAGACTCATTCTTTTTTTTTTTTCCCCCCCCCTACTTGGCTGGTGACTAACTGCTTCCTATTTCTATATACTCTGGTTTCTAATCTTATGCTGCTTCCTCCAATTGGAATGCCTCCTTTACCAAGTGTCAAGTTCTAGCTCAATTGCCATCTTCTCTGTATATTATTTGCTGATCCCTATCTCCAGCCAAACACAATACTTTCTTATCTCAATCCCCACAATGTACTTTAGTTTCAGGTTCAAGGCTTTGCATTCTGAGGCTCTATAAAATAATTAGTCACAGTGATTAGCACAATGGCCCAAGGCAAATAAATATAACACTGTTAGGCAGAGATTGGCAATAAATAAATAAATACTTTCATATATGCTTGATGAAAATTTTACTTTCCTGACATATTTAGCTATCTACAGTTAAAACAGAACAAAAAAAATTATTAGTGGTTCCAGGGCAATTTGAACCTAATTCTGAGACACATTATCAGGTCAAATTTCCCATGAGTTTAATGACAGATTAGCATGAGTCAGAGCTTTAGAATCACTCTTAATTAAAATGACTAATTAAGGAATGCTGTGTAGAAACACTCTTTTACAGTGACCCAGAAAAGGGCATTGTTCAAAAGTAGATATGCCATCTATTATCTACATTAGAGCTTCCATTGGAAAGGCCACAATAAAGCTTGCTCATTCATTCATCCATTCATTCATTCACTCATCATTAGTAAATTTTAGTCCTTCTAATGGAACTTGAGAAAAATATGAACCCAAGAACAGCACAATTCAGTGAAGACAATAGAATACTACTATGGAAAACCGCCATGCTTCTCCTGAAAGCTTTCTCACCCATGGTTCATCATGCCTAACCTGTGCCATCTCAGTGCTCCTACAGGGCTCCAATTGATAAGCTTTTCAAACAGAATAGTGATAAGTTTACATGCATATCACCCCCACTAATATGTGAATGTGTTGCTTTCTTTTCATGTCTTTCTTCTTAGCATTTAGCACAAAGTTGGTTCTGATAAATGATATTTGTTGAATACATAAATGAATTAAGGAAGAATAAAGATATGCTGTCCAAGAAAGCAAACAGAGAAAAGGATATTTGAGTAGGTGCAAAAGGCCGGAGGGTGGGATGAGGAGAACATCCCATGAAAGAGAACGATGTCTTTTCAGTGCCTAACAGTTCATTTGTGGTTGGCCTTCAAAATAGGAACAAAATTTTGGGAAGAGCACCAAAAGACATGAGTCCAATACCTAGTCCTACCATCAAGTTCCTGAACTATCAGATTAAAACCTCTGGTTTTTCTACTTACAAATTCCTCTAGAATGTGCATTTAGCTTATAAAGCGTATTATATACATAAACTTTATATACACAAGGGTATTTTATCAGTAAAATCACTGTTGGAATGAATGAATTTATGATATACTCCAAGTCACATTGTGTCTAAAAAGATTTGGCTGTTGATAAATTGAGGGCTTATGTTTGTATACATTAGATATAGTACCTTATTGGGTTAAAGAAAGTCGTTGGAAGTAGGAACCGGCTGGATGAGTTATTTCTTCCCTTGGCATCGATTATGCACCTGGCTTTAAGTCATAATTAAAAACAGTTTCTCAAAAAACTGAAATCCACCTGACTGTGAACCAAATCTTCCCAAACTGAAAGCATTTTAGAACACACTAAAAAGGACAAGAAATCTGTTTTTCTAAAAATGAGGGAACAAGACATATTTTGAAGGAGTTATTATATTTTTGAAGGAGAAAAATATTGTCACTTAATTAAGTGCTCAGGGATTATTTTGTCCCTTGGTAGTTCATTGCTAAATGCCACCATTTAAGCTTAAAAAGATACTGCCTCAAAATAACAGTCTCAAACAAAATGGGCAAACCCTTACAGATATAAAACATTTTGTAAAGAAGTTTTGTTTCCCTTTGTGTTTTTTAATCTTTTATTCTGAGATATTTTTAGGATTATAGAAGAGTTACAAAAATAGTACAGAGACTTTCCCTACCCCCTTCATCCTGGCTCTCCCAATGTTAAAATCTTATATAAATACTACCGTTACCAAACTAACAAGTTAACGTTGCAATGCCATTATTAACTAAACTATACACCTATTTTAGATTTCATCCTGTTCCACTATCTAATCCAGGATCACACATTGCATTTAGTTTTCATTGTCGCCTTATTCTCCTCCAATCATGACAGTTCCTCAGTTTTTCCTTGTCTTTTATGACCTTGATACTTTTGAAGATTACTGAATGATTATTCTGTATCATGTCCCTTGTAAGTTTGTCTGATGTTTTCTCATGACTACATCGGGGTCATGCTTCATTAGCAAGAGAACTACAGAGTAATGTGGTTTTCTCAGTGTATTGCACCAATTGTACCAGGGTACAGGAGGTCAGAATGTCTCATTACTGGTGATGTTAACTTTTATCCCTGGTTAAAGTTGTGTCTGTCAAAATTTCTCCACTCTAAAGTTACAATTTTTCCCTTTGTAATTTTTGCAGTTAAAAAATATTTAGTGTAGGTGCTTTGAGACTATGCAGATATCCTGTTCCCTTTAAACTCTGTCCCCTAATTTCAACATCTATCAGTGGTTCATGGGGGCAGCAACTATTACTGTGATGTTCTAGTGAGAACGTTCTATTTTTGCTATTGCGTCTACATTCTTATTTTTGTTTTCATTGGTAAGGACTCGAGGATATTTATTTTATTCTTAGGATTATAATCCAATACATCATTATTTAGTTTATTGCTAAAACTTTTGCAGCTAAAGCCATTAAGTGCTTTGATTTGTGTTGCTGTTGTTTTAAAAAAAATTTATTCTTTAGAATAGTTTCAGAATTATGAAAATAGTACATGGAGTTCTTCTATACCTCCAGTTTCTCCTATTATAACATCCTACATTAGTATAGTACAATTGTTACAATTAATAGTTTATTCAGATTTCTTTAGTTTTTACCAAATGTGCTTTTTTTCTATTCCGGGGTCCCATTCAGGATACAACATTGCATTTATTTGTTCTGTCTTCTTAGGCTCCCTTAGCTATGATAGTTTGTTTTTCAGACTTACCTTCATTTTGATGACCTTGACATTTTTTGAGGAGTACTTATCAGGCATTTTGTAAGATACCCTTCTACTGGAATTTTCCCGGTATATTTTTCATAATTAAACTGCAGTTATGAGATTTGGGGAGTGGTAAAGTGCCATTTTCATCACATCACACTAAGAGTGCATGCGATCAACCTGGTTTATCACTGTTGATGTTGAACATGTGATGAAGGTTATCACTGTTGAACCTTGAGTACCTGACAGATTACTTGTCAGGTTTCTCCACTGTAAATCGACTCTTTTTTTCCCCCTCCCTTTTCTTCACCTTTGGGAAGGAAGTCATTATACACAGTGCATACTTAAGGGATGGGTGTTTATGCTTTTTCTCCTTAGGGCAGTATTTACATTAGCTATTGGAATTCTTCTGAGTAGGAGATTTGTCTACTTCCCCATTTATTTATTTATTTTCTCAAGTATTGATTTATATCATTATAGAATCATGGATATTTATTTTATATTTGGGGTTCTATAACAATTTTACCTTATTATGCTCAACTTGTTTTGGTTTTGGCCATTTGGAGCTCAAGAAAGTGCTGAAACTAAAAGTTGGCATTTGTATCCCTTTGACTTATTCCCTGTGTGTTTTTTTTTTATTTTTTTATTTTTTTATTTGAGCACTTCCTTACTTTCTGGCACTCCAAGATGCTCTGTAGTCATCTTCCGTATTTCGTGTCCCAGTCCTAGAATCAGTCATTTCCCCAAGGAGTTGCCCTGGTTCTTTTTAGAAGAAGCTATGATTTCGGTTAGATGTGCTCCTTTCTGCTGAGCTGTCATTTATGTCCTTTGATCCAATGGAGCAAGAAGATGGAACTTTATAGTAAGCTGTGTCTATGCACTTATCTATAAAGATTTCTATATGCAGTCACCTGTATCTATTTTAAGCTAAACATAAATTCATATGATTTTATTCCTACATGGATTATTTTAGTCTCCTTCACTTGCTTGTCTGTAATCGCACACTCCTGGAGGGAGAAATATGGGTCCGATCATCCCCCATCCATTTACTATTATAA